TGCCCACCACCCCCCGCTCTAACCACTAGATCCCACTACCCTCCCAGTGCTGGGAATAGAACCCAGGAGTGGGTGTGGGGGGTGGATGGATGGAGGGAGGGGTATGGGAGTGGATGGATGGGTGTTGGGTGGGAGGTGGATGGATGGAGGGCGGGGTGGATGGACGAGTGGGTGTGGGGGGTGGATGGAGGGATATGGGCGTGGAGGGATGGGTGGGGTTGGGGGTGGAGGGAGGGGCATGGGAGTTAATTGATGGGTGGGGATGGGGTGGATGGAAGGAGGGAGGGGTATGGGAGTGGATGCACGGTGGGTGTGGGGGGTGGATCGAGGGAGGGATATGGGAGTGGATGGATGGATGGGGGGTGCATGGATGGATGGAGGGAGGTGGCGAGTGCTTGGATGGAGATGTGGGAGGGTATGGAGGGAGGGAGATGGGGGTGCATGGATGGAGATGGGGGTATGGAGGGAGGGAGGGAGATGGAGGGTGCATGGATGGAGATGTGGAGGGGTGCATGGAGGGATGGGGGAACAGCCAGACAGCCAGACACGGGAGGTGTTTGAAATAAAGTTTATTGCAGTCTCTCAGTTCTATGTACATATGGTACAGAGTAAATAAGGGGGGTTGGCCCCGGGGCCCCCCAGCATGGGGGGGGGGAGAAGAATATATGACAATAAAAAGGGGTCCCTCCTTGGTTACTAGTGTAGTATGCACATCCACCCATCCCCTCCCCGACCCCCCATCCCACCCTGCAGGCCAAGAACCTATTTCCCCTACACACACACTCTCCCGTCACAGGTGTCAGCCGGATTCCCCCACCCCACCACCCGTTCACAGTGATTGGAGGGGCGGGGGGGTGTAGCTAGTTAGCTTTCGTCACCACCATGCCCTGTGCCCAGGGGCCACTTCTGTGGCTAGATTTTTAACCCTTTCTTTTCCACCAGGTCCCAAGGGTGGGGGTGCCATGACCTTCCTCCTCGACCTCCCTTTGCCAGGTCTAAGTGCTGAGGGGTCCCCTGGTCCCTGGGAGCATTCAAGAGCAGGAGGTGAGATTTCTAAGGGTGGAGGAAGAAGGAGATTTCTGGTCCTTTAAGTGGTCAGGGGCAAAAGATGGTGTCTCCCATTCCCTGAGGGCACACAAACTCCCCCCACACACACTTCCGATATATCCCATAGACATCTCTCCCCTGACAGAACTGGAGGTAGAACCCAGGCATCCTGGCTCCCAAGCCCCCTGCTCTAACCACTAGACCCCACTCCGCTCTCAGACCCAGGGAGAGAACCCAGGAGTCCTGACTCCCAGCCCCCTTGCTCTAACCACTAGACCTCATCCCCCTCCTAGAGCTGGGTCCCACCCAGCATATACCACCCTCTGCTGGATGCCATAAGAACAGCTCCTCTGTATGTCATAGTCCCAACATCATGACAAGAGATGAGGAGGGTGATTCTCCTTTAGCTCCCTGGCTGGGAGGCACTGCCGTGGGGAAGCGCGCAAAGTCAGGTACAGATGACCTTGTCAAAGGAGCCCACAAAAATACCCACACGGGACAGGGACCGAACAGTACCAACCAAGTCCACAGCAAGAGTCCTGGGTCCTGGCAGGGCCCAGCCAGCAGGAGGTGCCTAAACCCACCTGTGATTCCAGTTCCCCGCACTGCTCCATCCCTGAAGGCCCAGGTATCTATAACCTACCCCCTTTTCTTTCCTCCATCACCTCTCTCAGCCTCGTTTCTCTTCTCTCGACCTTCCCTTCATTCTCTCGTTTCCCTCTCCCCTATTTCCCTTTCCTCCTCCTCTCCACTGGCATTTTTCTCCTCCTCCGGCTATATTTGCTCCTTCCTCGTTTCTGCATGGATGGAGACACCTTCCCCTCTACAAACACAGTCACCGTGGCAAAAGAAATGCAGCCCGAGATACACCCCAGCATGCGAAGGTGGCTAAAAGAGAAGGGAACTAACAGAGAAAGAACAAAAGAGGGTAGAGAAAGGAAGAGGAAAACAAAAGGGGGGTGGGGAAGGGACCTGTAGATGGACATATAAAGAAAATCAATAGAGAAGAAGTGCCGAGAAATGAACAAAAGAAGGAATGGACGAAAGAGTGCAGAGAGAGGAAGGAATCAAAGAAAACTTGCAAATGGAAACAAAAGAGAAAAGGGACAAAAGAAAGAGTGCAGTGAAAGGAAGAAGGAAAGAGCCAGGAAATGGAAAAGAAAAAAGGTGGCGAGACTGGAAGAAGAAAGCAAATAGAAAGAAAGGAAAGATCAATGCAGAGCATGGGGGCAGCTGGCCTCAAACTGGGTTAACATGGCCCACGCTTGCTAAGAAAAGGGCTTCTTCGAACGTTCTTTGGAGGGAAGACAAAGAGACGGGGCCCCCATCTGGCGGTTGAGGGGGGAGCGGGTCTCTGAGGGCGAGGTGTTGGCAGCCAGCCGCCGCCGTTGCTTTAGCCGGACGGACATTGGTGCCTATATTTTCAGCTCCCCTTGAGTCATCTCTCTGGGTTGGGTTGCTTCCGAGGGAAGAAAGTGGCCTGGGCCCTTCTCTGTGTCCCCATTTGCTGACGCGGTTCCCCCATCTGGTTCATTTGGAAAACAACAAAGATGGTGGAGGAGCCATTTCCTCTCAGGATCTGGGGGTGGGGGAGTGCAGGAGGGACCAGTGCAGCAACACGGAAAATGGCTGATGAGTGACTTCCTGTCAGGGTTGGCCATTGTGGGGCAGCAAAGGTGGCGGAGAAACCATTTCCTCTCATGATCTGCGGGGGAAGGGACTGGCATGGCAACAAGGAAAATGGCTGACGAGTGACTTCCTGTCAGGGTTGGCCATTCTGGAACTGAGGAAAATGGCATTAGGAGACATTTCTTCTCAGGATCCATACCAAGGGGAGCTGGTACAATGACAACCAGAATGGCAGATGGGCAGTTTCCTAACCGGGGTTGGCCATTATGGGGCAAAAAAGATGGCAGAGGAGCCACTTCCTGTCAGGATCTGGGAGGAAGAGCTTGGAGCAGGGAGGGATCACTTCCTGTTAGGAATTGGCCCCTGTGGGGACAAAAAAAAGTATCTGGAGCTGGCCCTATGATGACAAACAAAATGGCTGACAGGTGGCTTCCTGTTGGGAATCCCGGCACCTTCCTGTGGCAACCAAAATGGCCGATGGGGTGACTTCCTGTCGGGAGTCCTGCCACCTGCCCATGGCAGCCAAAATGGCCAACAGGTTACTTCCTGTCGGCAATCTTGCCAAGTTCCCATGGCTACCAAAATAGCCGAAAAGGTAACTTCCTGTTGGGAATCCTGCAGTGACCAAAATGGCCGACGGGGTGACTTCCTCCTGGGAATCTCACCACCTTCCCATAGCTATCAAAATGGCCAACAGGGTGACTTCCTGTCAGGAATCCTGCCAAGCTCCCATGGCAACCAAAATGGTCGACAGGGGGACTTCCTGTCACAAATCCTGCCAAAATGGCCAAATTGGGGAGGCCTCCAGAGATGGTGCAGAGGGAGCGAGAAAGGGGGGACAAGGAGAGGTTTCAGTCCAGTAGCACCCCGTCTGTGATCTATGGGTGGACCCCACTCCGCGGAGTCTCTGGGGTGGGGGCAGCTGGCAGGCCCCGGTGGGAGATGGTCGGGGGGGCTGGCCTAGCAGGGCGAGGTGGATATGTGCATGTGCTCAGGGTACTTGATAGCAGGGGGGTAATTCTGGGTCATCTGGATGGAGACGTCGCTGGAGATGTCGGAGGGGCTGCGCCCGCGGTGCCACACCTCCGGGTGCAGGAACTGGCCCGAGTAGTCGGAGCAGTCGCTCAGGCGCGGGCGGTAGAAGGCTGGGTGAGGACGGTACATCTCCTCCTCCGCATAGCGTTTGGTGAACAGGTACACGGACATCACACCGGCGCCCTGCAGGAGGTGGGGCGGGGGGACAGTGAGTGGAAGGGGAGGGAATGGGACAGCAGAACCCTGCTCCCCTCCCAGAGCTGGGGTTGAACCCAGGAGTCCTGGCTCTCCCCTGCCCCCAATCCACTAGATCCCACTCCCCCCGCCCAAGCTGGGGATAGAACCCATCCTGACTCCCAGCCCCTGCCTACTCTAACCACTAGTCCCCACTCTCCTCCCAGAGCCGGGCATAGAACCCAGGAGTCCTGGCTCCCAGCCCTCCTGCTCTAACCACTAGACCTCCCTCCCCTCCCAATTGGGCCCATCTACCTCATCTATTTTAAGGACTCCACAGTTTGTAATTTGAGGTCAGAGACTTTCTAGGCTCCCCCAACAGCTCTCGCCACTCCCCCCTGCTGGATAGATTAGAACTGCCCCCCTCCGTGTGTCACAGTCACCATACGGTGCCAGCAGAGGGGGATTCTCCGTTAGTTCAGCCTGCAGAATCAGGGAAAAGGGGTTCTAAGTCCTACCCCAGGGGGCAGCACAGAGCCAGCCAGGAATCTCCAGGGCCCCGAAGAGGAGGGGTTGGGATGAAGTGTGGGGCAAGGTCCAAACCTCTTTGAGGAGGAAGGAGGAGGCTGCGAAGGCGAAGGACCAGCCGTAGCGATAGTGGAAATACTGCTCCGACCCGCTGGGCCGATTCATCACCTCGTCGTTGATGCTGGAGATGTAGAGAACTAACCCCACCACGAGAGACAGGCCTGCAAGAGACAGGGCCAACGATAAAACTGCTGAGATGCAGCCGCCTCTGGGAGCTGTTCAGACAGGGACCCCTCGCCTCGCTCAGATGCGACCGCCTCTGGGGTGAGGCGTGGGGTCTGCTTATACAGGGACCCCTCGCCCAGCACTGAGAAGCAGCCCCACTAGGATGGGGTGCAGGGGCTGTTTATACAGGGACCCCTCGCCCGGCTCTGAGATGCGGCTGCCTCTGGGGTGGGGCATGGGGTCTGCTTATACAGGAAGCCCTCGCCCAGCACTGAGAAGCAGCCCCACTAGGGTGGGGTGCAGGGGCTGTTTATACAGGGATACCTCGGCCCGCGCTGAGATGTGGCTGCCTCTGGGGTGGGGTATGGGGTCTGCTTATACAGGGACCCCTCGCCCAGCATTGTGGGGTGCAGGGGCTATTTATACAGGGACCCCTCGGCCCGCACTGATGCGACCACCTCTGGGTGGGCCTGGAGCCTGTTAACACGAGGACTATAAAAATGTCAGGATGGAAGGGACCTCAAGGGGGTCATCTAATCCAGCCCCCTGCACTGATGCCAGACCAAGTAAACCTAGACCAGTGCCGACAGGGGTCTGGCCAACCTGTTCTTAAAACCTCCCCTGACGGGGATGCCATAACCTCCCTTGGGAGTCGATTCCAGAGCTTTCCTCCACTTAAGAGTTAGAACATTTTTCCTAATGTCTAACCTACATCTCCCTTGCTGAGGATTAAGCCGATTACTTCTTGTCCCACCTCCAGCGGACGCAGAAAACAACTGATCACAGCCCTTTATAACAGCTCGTATGTGAAGACTGGTCTCGGGTCCCCGCCTTGGGCTTTTTTTTTCTGGACTAAACATGGCCAGGTTTTTAAAACGTCCCTTGGACCGGGTTTCTGGCTCCCCTCTGGACTCTGTCCAATCTGTGCCTCTGTCCCAAAGGGCGGTGCCCAGAACTGGAGGCAGACCAAGGTCTCCACCAGCGCCGAGCAGAGCGGGACAATCACCTCCCGCGTCTTACGTCCGACACTCCTGTTACCCAGCCCCAGAAGGACAGTCGCTTTTTTGGCAACTGCATCGTTGCCTCGTATTCAGTTCATGACCTATTTTAACCCCCTGCCCCTTGCCAGCTAGTCCACCTTTTGTAGCCGTGCATTGGAATTTTCCTTCCCAAGTGATGGACTTGGCCCTTGTCTGGACTGAATTTCATCTGGTTCATTTCAGACCACGTCTGCAATTTGTCCAGGTCGTTTTGAATGCTAATCCCATCCTCCAAAGGGCTCACAACCCCTCGCGGCTTGGGGGCATCTGCCAATGCCGCTCTCCGCTCCATAATCCGAGTCATTAATTAAAAGAGTGAATAGGACCGGACCCACGACTGACCCCTGCAGGCCTCACTAGAGCCACCTCCCAGTTATCAATGGTAACGACGCTTAGAGTACGGTCTTCCAACCAACGATGCATCTGCCTTATAGTAAATTCATCTAGAAAGAGCCACATTTCCCTAGTCTGCTAATGAGAATGTCACACGGGCCTTGCTAAAAATCCAGATCTCTCACGTCTACTGCTTCCCCCCGTCCACTTGGCCAGTAATCCTGTCAAAGCAGGAAATGAGGTTGGCTTGGCGTGATTTGTTCTTGACAAAGCCGTGCGGGCTGTTCCTTACAACGCCGTTATCCTCCAGGTGCACAGCAAACTGGTTCTTTCATATTTGTTCCAGTGTCTTTCTTTGGTGGGGCGTGGGGCCTGTTTATACCAGAATTCCACACCGGGTGCTGAGATGCAGCCACCTCTGGGGTGGGACACGGGGATTGTTTATATGGGGATCCCTCGCCCAGCCCTGATGCAGCTGCTTCTGAAGTAGGGCGCTGGGGGTGTTTACACAGGGACCCCCCACTCCTGGCACTATTCAATGGCTGCACCACACAAAAGTTTGGGATGGGAATTGAAAGAGAATCTCACATCCAACCACAACCTCAGGCAGGATATCGGGGGGTGCTGACTGCTAGGGGACAGCGCCCCCTACTGAGCCCCCCTCTCCCTGCAGGACAGCGCTTCCCTAGTGCCACACTGGGGCATTGGGGCCAGCCCTGACTCCCAGGGCAGAGCACCCCCTACCGAGCACCCCCACGCCGCTCCCAGGCCCCTCACCAGAGAGGATGAAAAAGATGCCAGAGACGAAGGCCAGGATGGTTCTCTGTGGCCGGATGTGGCCGATGTTGCTGATGACGAAGGCCGTGAAGACAAGGAAGAGGCTGACCATGGGGAAGGGGGTGGCCGTGCGAACTGTCTCTGTGGGGGGAGGGGGACACCAGTCAGAGCACCTCCACCACTGTCCCCCACCCCATCCCAGGGGGTAGGACCACCCTCTCTCAGACCCCCCAACACTCTCCTCACCTCCCATCCCCCATGTACCCCACCTGCCCATGGGAACACCTCCTCCCCCATCTCCTCCTGTCCCCACTTCCCCCTACAAACTCCAGTTCTACCCCCACTAGGGGTCCCGCCGCTAACAGCTCCCAACCCCACGGAGGACCTGGGTGCCAGGCAGCTGGGCTTCATGCCGCATGCCGTCTTGCTCGGAGCTGACCTCAGAGTCCTGGGACACTGCTGCCATCTCCTCTCCTCAACGTTTTCTCCCCGTGCACACCCTCTTGCTTGTGCGCTCTGTCTTGAAGCCACCCAGGACAGGAGGAGCCCCTCTCACTTACTCAAGATGTTCTCCGTGTTTTCCGTCACCAGGTTTATCTCGGGTTCCAGGAAGTACTCTGATGCCACGCACCGGCCTTTCTCCCGGCCTGCAGGGGGCAAGAGATGGCGTTACCTGGCAAAGCCCCAGCCAGGGCACTGCTCTGAGGAAACTCGCAGCACCAAGCAGTCGCCAGCCAGGGCAATGCTACGGGGATGCAAAGAAGCCCTGGCTGGGGGCACTGCCGGGGGAAGCTCACAACACGGGGCTCGTACCGGCGAAGAAGCAGACCCTCCAGAGCCCGGCGTGCAGCGCCATCTTGATCTCGGTGGTCTGGTTCTGCTGCAGCACGATGCCCTCCTCCATATAAAGCCAGTAGTCGGTGCTGACGGCGATGCCAACCAGCAGCAGCCCGCAGGCCCCAAACACGCTACTGAGCAGCGTCAGCGCGCGGCTGCTGCAATTACTCATCCTAAGGGACGGGGGGCGCCACACACAGCACGCGGACCTGGGCAGGGAGAGAGAAACAGGCTGAGTAGCCACTGCCAGCCACCCCCACACCCCCGCTCTAACCACTAGACCCCACTCCCCTCCAAGAGCCCGGGACGGAACCCAGGAGTCCTGGCTCCCAGTTAATCTGCACTCCCCGCAGCCCAGTGTCCCCGCTGAACCCTCCGCCCCGCCCCGCCCCCCGCAGCCCAGCGTCCCCCGCTGAGCCCCCCGCCCTGCCCCCCGCAGCCCAGCACCCCGCCAGTCCCCCACTGAGCCCCCGC